TGGATTTCCGGTATACTCGAGTATTACCACCCACTGTTACTGTTGAGGTGCTCAGGCCCGATAAGGGGTATGTTTGGTGGACGAAATTTGGTGTAAAGTAGGGTTTACGGACATGTTTGTTCAAAATACGTTGACGGGGAGTCAACGGATTTGGATTAAGTATTGCAATGGGAATTTTGGCTCCTGAGAGCCACCTGTATCATTTCTATTTGAGGTGTTTGTTCATTTCCTGATATGTTGGGTATATGTGCCTTGAAAGTGAAATGCCACGATTCGTGACTACTTGTATTTTGGTACCTCATTGAGCGTAAGCTCACCCCCTTCCCGTTATCTTTGTTTTCCTTACAGGGAACAGCACTTTTGAATCATGATTTTGAAGAAAGGGTCGAAATAGTGTAAACGTTCTTTTGTTAACCTCTTTTGTAATCAAAACCCTAATTTGTCTTTTAATCAAGTATCATGTTTTGATTTGTAAAGTTTTCAATGTATGTATATAAGTGTTTAACTATGTACATTAAGTGTATTTGTTTGAGATGGTACCTTTGGATTTGTTGAGATGCTACTTGTAACCATTGGACGATCACGGCGTTTGAACAAGGAAAGAAAATTTCTGGCGAGAACTGTTCACCGAATCCGGCCGTGTATCCGACCAGTTCTTGGCAGGATATCTGGCCGGATTAGCAAAGGATTTTGAAAACATTTCGGGTTGCTCACTGCCTCGAATCTGACCAGCAATCCGGCCGGAAATCCGACTTGATCTTGGCCGGATTGTGACGTGGCCGCTTTCCGTTTGCGTTTTCGTTTTCATTTTCGATTCCATTGAGGCATTTAATCGAAGTGCCATTGTACCTTACGGTTCAGAAATCATGTTTTCGATTGGTTGTTTTCTTGGGGTTTGATTGTGCGCTATGTAGGGTTTCTGTGATTTGACTCCGTAGTCCCGACGAGAGTTGAGCAGGCGGTCCGCCGAACCCTTTGGTTCACCTTAGGAGGAGGTGGGGCTGTCACACAATTCAAGATTCATAATCTTAGGGTTTAGAAGGGTCAAGTGTTATTCCGCACTCCAACTAGATTTCTTCATCTAGATCCAGGGCTACGTGGGATACGAATTCATACCTTCGGACGGGTTCGTATCAGGTTACGAGTCAATTGGATTTTACCCGTATTGAATTCTATTTGGATTATATTATATGTTTAAAAATTATCTCTAATTTTAAAATAACTTTAAAAAATAATTAATCTTATCTTAATGATATTGTTTTTAAAAATAAGTAATCTTATTTTAATGATTTTGCTTTCTATCAAATTAATACATATAGAACTACAGTAAAACCGTTTTTTAAATCACTAGTATGGAAATGTTACATACCCCAAATTACTTCCTTAATCACAATTATTGAAATCTTACATATCCCAAATTACTTTATTTCACCACCATACCGTTGATTAGTATTCAAATTGTTCATCATTTCTTCCCTTAATTTTGAATTAACTTAGTGTAAAAAAGAGAATTAACTATTACATCGACAGATTTAGCAATATTGTTGGAAACTGAATATTTATTGATGAAGAAAAATGAATTGCTAGACTTTTTCTACTTAATTAAATAGGAATATATAAAGTTTATGATCATTATAAAAATTTAAATTGTCTAAAAGAATATCTGTAAAAAAAGAATATCTACCAAGTTTTTGATATGGGTACATTATTTGATATTTGCTATCATATTATAATGAAAAGTATGTAAACAAATTTTTAAAAATTAGTAAATATTCAAACATTTAGAATACATTAATTTTTTAAAGTTAATAAAGATGAACATGTAAGAATGTTGTTAATTTTTGTACTTCTATTATTTATATTTGTATAAATTCACAACAAATTAAAAAAAAAAAAAAAAGACCGTGCTAAGGCACGTGCAAAATTTTATTTATAGAGTAAAGAAAAAACGATTAGGATGGGATGGGCAATTGGTTGGGTTATGGAGAGGTCAGAGGTCAACACAAATTCAATTATTGATTAACTTTTTTGGACTTGTTCTTGACTGGAAGAGTTGGCCAACCTAATTGGGCTAAATTCACATTGTCTCGCACTAAATAGGTACCATCTTTTTTGAACCAAGAAAAATACACACACACACAAATATACTTGCATAATGTGTTTTGTATTCTGTATTTGAACTTGCTCGTGTTTTAGCAAGCCACTCACGATACCATTAGGGCTAATTACTTTTACATCTACTATCATTTTGACCGCTGATTACATTCATTGCATTGATGTCGCACACTAGTAAGGCATCAAAACCTAATGAATGTCACTAGAGATTGGGTGGTTGGAATGCTAATTAGCGAGATAAAAGAATAAGGGAAAAGAGTAAACCTGCAATCATCCCTTGCTTGGACTAGATTACTGATCATATGTTTGAACCTTTTTTTTTTAAGGTAGAGAAAATATTTGGGATAATGTTTGTATTTGTAATTTATTCACTTTACCCACAAAAATAAAAAACCAAAAATACCAACCACACAGCCCATCATATGTGCACACAACCTTAAGTAGGATTCGTTATAGAATAACTGGCCCAAATAAGGGAATTTCGAGTCTGGACTTACACTAAAGAGGACTCAATCTGTGGGCACCCCTGAATTGAACCTGCCTTGCAATAAAGAGCACGCACTTTAAGCGAAAAGCAGACACATCAGAGCTATATAATGGGTCTACCCTTTTTTTTTTCCTTTTTTTTCCCTATTTTTGGTGTGTACTTATTTTGGGTCTTAGACTACAAAATAGGAAAATCTTATTTTTGAAACCAATTTTGTTAGGATACTCTGAAGTAAGTAAGAACATAGGTTTTTGTGGGAGAAGGGGGAGGGTACGTAAGGAGAGGTTTCGGGTTCGAATCCTCCCGCTTACACTAAAAAAGAAAAGTAAGAACATAGGTATTATACTCTAATTACATATCTTGACTCTGTTTGTATCTTTATTTGTTCAATTTGTGCACAAAATGGTTGTTGCAGTTTTAAGACTATTGAACGACCGCTTGGATTAGTTATTTTTGGAAGTATTTTTGAAATATTTTACTATAGTAGTATACAATGTAAAACTCCAAATTTTTCGATCTCCCTTTTAGTTAAAACTAATTAATTAACCAATATAATTAATTATTTTACTAGTAGTTTACTTAGTTTAATTATCATTTAGAGATTTATATTAGTGTTCTATCTTATCTCAACAGTGGACAGTGGGAGTTGATAACCAAGTCAATTACTTATTCCATCTGACCAACACCAAAATGCAAATTTAGTAGATGTCATGTTACAGAGAGTAGGACCCAAATGCAAATTTAGTAGATGTCGTGTTAGAGAGAGTAGGAATTAACTCCAACACGTAGATATTATAGGAGATAAATTAGGAGATAAAGCAGGAGATAGAAAGTTAGTTTGAGTGGTGGAGTTATTTTAGGAAAAAGTGTCATGAACTAACTCCGACCATAACTAGTCTAATAGCAGTTAAATTTCTACAACATTTCAAAAAGAAAATCATAAAAGTACAGAGTAAGAGAATGTCAACAGAAGAAAAAGTTGAAATCAAGAGATTGGACAAAGGAAAGAATACAAGAATTGGATCCCTCCGACAATGAATAAACACACAAGACCACGAACTCTTCTTCTAATATTTCTTATTTTTCTCTTTTACTAACCAAAGATTTTCATCCGTAGCAGCCCTAAAACATGTCTGAAATATTAGGTACTAGTTTTGTGTGTTTTGATAAGCAACTGCACCGTGCTTTATGTAATGTTTGAGAGGAATCGATGATTTCATTTTTTAGTCACCTCTATGGTTCTGCATGTCCTTGGGCTTTAGAGAGTTTGGTTGGTATATACCTCATCAAAATTTAGAAAGTGAAATTGGTGGAAACAGTCTTAAATTATTCCTATGAATTAAAGTAAAGTAGGAAAACGGTAATTTTTCCAACATATTTACCGGTGCATGTGCACGGGTTTGCATACTAATATGCCTTAAATCCAGAAACACTCGTTAGTGAAAAAGCAGTCTTTTGTCAACTTCACTATTTGGGGACAAAGTGTAGTTAACCAATAAGTTTTAGTATTGCTGAACAAGGTTAGGGTATATTGTCAGATAATTTGAAGATCAAGCAAGAAAGAAACTATTATTTACTCATTTTAATATGTTTCTTGATGAATGATGGTAAAATTTTGTAATTTGGTATTGTAAAATTATTTCTAACATATATGTTGACATTTTGTGAAGTAAAAATATTCCCAACCATTATAATTTTCATTTCCATTTTTGTGTGATTCATTTGCAAAAAAAAAAAAAAAAAAAAAAATCTTTCTATTAGAGAAAGGTACACAATTTCCATTTTTAAAAGGTATAATTTAATTGTGAGAACTTTCATGAGAGGTGACCATTGAAGAAGAAATCATTTGTGAAGCAACTTTCACAATGAGGACAATAAAAACTCTTTCATGCAAGAGATGACCATTGAGGGAGAAATCAATTGTGAAGCAACTGTTAGAAGTAATCTCCTTCAAGAAAGTATGCGGACGGTTGTTTATGTTTCTAAGAATAGCAACAGCACGATGGCACGATCCCTTGTATAATTGCAAAGTATAATGTAAGTTAGATGCTGGCATCTAGAAGCTTTGTACAACGTCATATATGTTGCATCATGTGGAATGAAATACAGTTATTGATTCAAGTTGAGAGATTAATTGGGTAGAATAGCTGCTCTCGTTGTCTCTGAATACCTGAGAAGGAAACCTATGATTTCAATCGTGCAAGGTCACTGCTGAAATAATCTTAAAGAGGAATACTAAGAACTAATTGTTGTAACTACTTATGGGACATCTTAATGTTGTCTCAAGTACTAACTCGGGCGATTTTACTTGGATTATCACAGAAAACAAGCATTTCATAAAGAAGATACCCAACAAGAAGTTAAGTAGTAACCTATAATGGAGGGTGCAATTAGTTTAGTCAAAAAAGAAAAATCCATTGAATGAGTATGAAAGTTCATTGTCTCAGTTCAAATAGTATACATGAATACGAAAGGCAGAAGACAAACCTAAAGCAGAGCTCAGAACAAATAAAGGACCACCAATAAGTGGTAAGTCAACATTGTTTGGAGAAGATCAATACTGACAAATGGAGGAATTCATATAATCCAGATATTACCTGTTACAGTGCATATTTATAAACAGGCTAGATACAGGCAAACCTAACATAACACCAACAATCTAATAAAGATGCAAACTAATCAGACATAATCTCTAAAAGTAGTCGTGAAGGCGCATAACATAGAAGAATATTTGTCTTTCTAATTTCCAATCATGAGTCTCCTGCAGAGGGAATGAAGATGGGTTCAACAGCTGCCATAAATAACTACTAAATTTGTACATTTTTTGTTCTTCAGATGTTCATTGTCACTTCATGCATTAATCAGAGGAAGTGCTTCTCATTTTTCTCTGTCTGCACATGCTAAGACCTAGCTGGAATAAGTTGATCTTTCTAATCGAGGTACAGCATCAATAAGGAACTAAGGTACTGGAGCTTGAAAATTTATTCCACTGCCATGGACAAAAAGGTAACTTGAAGACAACTGTATGTGGCATTTTGAGTATCAGCAGTGGGCTTCTTCACATGTCTAAGCCCATAAGTTGTATAGACCCTGTAAACTGTAACCCATCCATGTTTAGTTCTATGTTTCTCCTAGATTTTCAACTTAGCATCTGTACAACATAACAAACGAAAAGCATCATAATACTTATCCAATGCGTAACAAGAATCAGAGTTACAGAATACAGAAATACAAAGAAATGGCTCCAAAAGTATTCTGCAGAATAGATATCCAATTTAAGTTACATACAGATACCGTGTTTGATCGTGTCTTAATTGCACATTCAGAGGCACTCAAGTTGCCATTCTTACAAGTACTACTAGAAAGAAGGAAGTACCATGAAGATTCAAAACTACTATCTTTCTCCCTCCACAACAACACTTGGGAGGTAAATTACAGGCATGAGTAGTTTGAAAACAGCACAAGATATATACTGTGATATCTGAACCAAAGAGATGCAGAACGTGGGTCACCTCAAAGCTACCCAAAAACAGATTCTGCTTCAGTTTGATTAAAAAAAAAAAAAAAATTTGTAATCAAAGGCAGACAACTTTTGAAGCAGTGTGCCATTGAATCTAACATATCATATGTGGGAATAAACTAAAATTTAAGCCAGCACTTAAGATGTCAAACTGAATTGCTCATATTTATTGGTTCCAAACATTAAACTCGTATATCAACGTATTCCATTCTCAGAACATAAAGTAAAGACCACTAGCTTGAATTGGTATGTGCCTATACACTAAAGCTTCAGCCAATTAGACAAAAGTACAAACTACTATTGTGTAATTTAAGCAAAAAAGTCCATGCCTGATGTAGAACATAATATTTTAGAAGAATTTACCAAATAAATAGAAAGCACCTTCCAGTCAAGAACCATTTCCTGGAGTCAAGCCCCAAACAATGCATTAGAGCAAGATGTTAGAGTTTGCCTCAATCCATTAGTTTCATCTTAAAAATCTGTGAAATAACTTCAGGATGAAAATTCATGATCTCAATTTCTTTGTTTCCAATGGAAGAAAATTTTCCGTATAGGGAAGCAGATGAAGATTTCGTGATGTAGCACTGATAGAGGCATCAAGAAAAATTCCAAAACTAACTTAAGTACTAGCTGGATAGACCAATAAAAACATGGATTATCAATGTAGATCCTACTCAATCCCACAGGACGAGCAAATTTCCTTTAAAGAATTTCTGTTAATTGGGAAAGCTTTTTCCTTGGAATTCCAGATCAAAGTTGAAGTTCATCAATGTTTAAAATAGTAATACGATCAAATGCATTTTAATGATGAACGTAAGAGACAAAAATCCATGTCCGCTTCCTTAACAAAACAAAGTCTTCACACAAAAGAAATCACTGGACATTCCTATCAACTATAAACAGAGATATATTACAAGATTTAACTTGTCCGTCACTAGTTCTACCCTGTTTCCTAATCAAATAGAAATATTGAAACTCACTTAGTTCATGATGCTCCCAGGAAGGGCTGATGCATGTCTTCAGGGTGCAATTTCCTGTTCTCTCAATGTTAAATGTTTGTATAGGTCCCACTTGTTGGTCCCAGTAACAATTGAGGTGAGACCATGGATCCAGTAAATGAATGCTTATGTCTTTGCAGCCTAAAGGAGACCATTCATATAGGACCAATTGGCTCATAGATGGTAATAGACCGTCACCAACATTCTCCCGTGTCCCATTCTCAAAGTTGTACCAAAATGGCTTGAAAGCAAAGGCCACTAACACAATCTGTGGATTATATGGATGAAAGCTTATCACTTCAGGCCATGCTAGGTTATGCCTTTGGCTAATCTGTCCTGGAAACCCAGTGATATGACACAAGCTCACTCCATACTTGATGACCCAACCTATGTTTTTCTTGCAACCCTTGAGAATTCATATCTCTAAATAATCATAATCACATCTGGAATACTTTGCCTTTCCCTCACATGGACCATGGAAACCAAAAGCAAAATTTTGTCCATCCTCATCCTCATCCTCCCCTGGGGACTTTCATCAGTTTTGAATGGTCAACACCATGATCATAAGCCAAGAAAGTGTTGAATTCAGCAGTTCAGTAGATGACTTCCTGGATCACAAAGGCAGGCACAAATGGAACAGCCCAACGGAATTTCTTGCAGTTTGCAGGATATGGCCAAGGGTTCTCCTCCAGAATTACCAGTCATGGTTCTTTAGCAAAAGCACAAAATGGAGGCAACCTCTCATCCATTTCAAAGCATTAATTTTCCCAATTATTATGGTTCAGGACCAATTTATAGTGGATTCAGGAGCCAGCATAGAACAGCAAGTTACTAAGTGGTACAATGTATCCACCATTCATGACTTTGACTACTTGCTTGCCGGATTACACTTCTGAATTATCTTGGCAAGAACAGGACTGTTTTCATTTTCCTGGAACAAATCAAGTAACATTGAAAATGTAGATGAGTGCAGAGAAAATCCTCTTTCAAACATTTTTTCAAGACATGTTATTGCATCATCAAATTCACCCCTTTTGAGAAGTCCTTGAACAATGACATTGTATGTGGTCATATCTGCCGAGCAACCATTCTCTTCCATTTTGATGGCAAATTCTTTTGCTTCATCAAGCAAACCTTCCCAACAAAACCCAGTTATCATTGTGTTATACGTTGCAACATTAGGATTCAGTCTTTTAATTGAGAGACTACTGAAAAGACCCCTTGCATGATCAAGCCTCCCACATTTGCACAACCCATCAAGGATGATATTGTACATAGACACATGAAGTTCTACTGCATCAGTTTCAATCTTAGAAATCAGCTCTAATGCTTCATCAATATGTCCACTCTTACATAGGCCATGCAACATCACACAATAAGTATGAAAATCGGGACTGATATTAGCAGATTGCATCCCAAGGAAAACTTCTCCTGCAGTAACATACCTTCCGACCCTAAACAAGCCCTGCAAGACAGTATTATAAATAGAAATATCAGGTGTTAACCCTTTATGTGATATCTCTCGGAAGAGATACATGGCTTCATCAGTTTTCCTTTTCTTAAAATATCCATTAATCAATATACAATAACTGAGTATATCTGGACCAACTCCATGAGCAGCCATGGTATCAAAGAATTTCCTTGCTTTGTTTACTCGCCCCTGCAAACAACATCCTTCAATCAAAGCATTGTAAGTGAAACTATCAGGATACTGACCTCGTTCAATCATTATGTCAACCAAACCCTCTGCATCTTTTACCTTAGCTTCCTTACATAACGCGTCAACCAATATATTAAAGGTATAAACATTTGGAGCAATACCCAAATCCACCATCTCATTGAACACACTTTTAGCAGCGTCCAATTTCCCTGTATTGCATAAACCCTTGATCAAACAAGTACAAGTAACAACATCCGGTGAAACACCCTTTCCAATCATCCGACGTAAAAAAGCAACTGCTTCATCCACCATTTTATCCTTGCACAAACTATCAATAACAGTACTGTAAACTACAGCATTCGGTTTAACTCTTCCTCTTTCCATTATCCTAACAAATTCAACAGCCATTTTCGTGTTCCCGACTTTACAAAGCCCGTCTACTACAATCCCATACATTTTCTCATCGGGTTCGCATAGCCTTTCGTATATTATCTTCTTGAACAATTCCTGAGCCTGGGAAATCCTATTTTCTTTAAACAATCCTTTCAGTAAAGTACTAAACGTAGATACATTAGGCACAACACCACGCTTAAAGAATTCCCCCAATATTGAAAACCCGAAATCAACCCGATTTGCAGAACAGCAAGAATTCATGACAATATTCAGGGAGCATTCAGTAACAGGAATGTTCAAAACACACATGTCATTAAAGAGATAAACAACAGCTGAATATTGCTTCAATTTAACCACACGACCAAGCAATTGATTGAAGTCAATAACAGAAGGCAGAGGCCTCGTTTTGACCATCTGCTTGTATAAACTCTTGACATCTTCGATGCTATTAAGGTTATTCGAAAACCCGGATTTAAATCTAGCATTCAAAGCCATAGAAATCATGTACGGAAGAAAATTGTACCTGATTTTGAATTTCAAGGAGATTAACGGAGTCCCACCATTTTAATCTGCGAAAAAGCTCTCAGCAATAGAGAGGGAAGCAAAAATGCGCAAAGAACTAAGTGAGAAGCAACGGCTGAGGTTTCTTTGGCGCACTCCACTAAAACGCTGTCGTCTGATTTTTTTTTCTTCCTGTTTCTTTTCTAATTTTGGGTTAGTTCTATAATATGCCCTTCAACTTTACTTTGCTCGCACATTTTACCCCACAACGTTTTTAGTTGCGTTGATGTCCCCCTTGTTCATTTGGTTCTCCCCAGCTCAGTACAAGGCGTCTGTGTTTCATATCAAAAGCTTTTCAAAAAGCTCTGGTGCTACTATGAAAATTTCTAAAAAAAAATTACCTTAGACATTCCAACCTCCTTCACAATTGTAGTATCATGCAATTAATTATTCTCATAGTACAAATTCTAATAAGTTAGGTTTGTACTGCACCCCTATGCCTAAAAATTGTATAAGAAACTTAAAATTATACTTTGGCATTAGCAAGGATCCTCTCCTTCTCTAGGTAAATGGAAGAATATTTCTTTTTCAAGTTTAAGAGAAAAATAAAGAAGAGAAAGCAGAAGAAGAAGGAGGACGTTTGGTGGTTGGTACAAATACAAAAGTAACTATATACTTGAGGGAGAACAAGACAAAACAACATTTAATAATCAAAGTTTAATACTAGAAGTCAGTAAAACTATAGGCTTCCTTCTATTGATTAAATTCTATAAACCATGTAAAACTTCTAACTAAACCATAATAGTTACAATTTAATTAAATCATAATGTTATAAAGCAATTTGTCACATTTTTTCTTTTCACCTTTAAAAAAGCACATAATAATCAAATTAGCAGACAAAATTGAGTGTTGAGGATCCAAAACCTTTTCGGAATGTAGATGAGGGAGAAAAGAAAGAAGAGAAAATTAAGAACTTCTTTCATATCGATTTTGAGACTTTAAAAAGAAACTAGACGATTTTGATATTATTGGCTAGTATATTTTGTTCTTTAATCTTTCATAGAAAAAATTAACTATTTGATTAGTCCTAAGCTTTGACTTACACTTTCTAGTGGAACATTAACCAGGTAGCAAATTTCTCACCCGAACCACCATTAGATAGGGGACTTTGCAAAGAAGACTTATTAAAATATTTAGTTTCTGTGACGCCCCACATCTCCCTAAGGCGGACCAAAGGGTATCCGCGGACGCCTGCCCAACTCTCGCCAGGACTCAAGCAAATCCATTCACTTTAGAACCGAACTAAACACTTCAAAGAGAGTAACATGAATACAATAATGCGGAAGCGTTCAAGCTTAACAAGTCACATAACAAGTAACCATTACATCAGTAATCGTAATACGACTTAAATTCAAAATACACGTCAGGGCCCAAACTATTCAAATCTACAATTTCCAAAAGTACAACCCAAACCAGGGCCTAGTCAAAATATATAGCAGGAGTCTTAACAAGAGTACAACGGATGGTTTCTCCATACTTTTCCAAGGTTCGGTCCTGTTAAGGAAAACAAAACTATAGGGTGAGCTAAACGCTCGTGAGGCCAAGAACACACATGCAAGCACTTTGTTCAGATAGCAATCCCAAATCTAATAAATAAACCATGTCCCTTCAATAAACAATCATTCAAACAGGAAAAGAAATCAGAAACAATTCAAGGATACAATAGCTCTCAAGAGCTAAGTTCCACTCGCTCTGCCGAAGTCATTCGTATACCTTCCCGCATTGACCCTCCTGTCAACCGGGTCGGTATTTCCATTTCCGTAGATCACCACTTACTTCCCTCCGTCCACCGTACACCCCAAGGGCCCACAATGTCCATTATTGGGCGATACTCAACGAGTTTGCCAAGCAAGACCTCTTATTAGGTCGAGCTTATATGTATCTCATGGCTCGCCCAAATCCCCGACCAAGCCCATTGCTGGCTCAAGTCTAAGGACGGCCTATGAGTTTGGGCGTCCCCCATTCATTTGAAAGTCGAGGAGGTTCACTCCAGCGACACAAGCATTCATAACATAACATTGCATTTCATTCATTCATTCAATACATTTGATTCATTCATTCGAAATTAGAACGAGTACGATAAAGTACGCACCCACCCTTATTTTTAAAACTTTCAACAAATACCACAATAAGCAAGTATCAAATTTCACACACTTGACACTCACCGAGCAATTCAATAAAAATTATTTTCTGGGAGTTCAAGTGTCCACGGTGAGATCCTCTTGAAGGTCTCCTTGTGCGCCTGGCAATTAACAGTGGATAATCACACAATTAATCCACTTATCAAGAAGATTGTACACTAGTACAATCTAAGGATTATTTTGCAAAAAGGAACCTCAATTACACGTAAATCGAGGCTCAACTTGTCTTTTATTATGTACAATATTATTTGAGTTTTTATCATGAAAATCGTGAGCAAAACGTTTAAAAATATTAAAAGAATAAAGAGTTCTTGAGAAAACTCTATTTCTTTGAGATTGGAAAATTTTCAGTTTTACGATGAATCTTTGAAAAATCGTAACTCGCTCGGTATAAGTTGAGAATTGGAAAACTTTATACCGTTGGAAACCTTTTAGAAAGTACTATAAGTTCCTAGAAGACACTTTTCCATGAATCGAAGTGAAAAGTGGTCAAAAATGAGCTTGAAGACGCAGGGTTGGTTTTCATGGCAGAATTAAGTTGGATTTCGGCCAACTTTGGAAATTCGGCACGATTCACACGTTGCAAACCGGCCTCTGAAATTTGCAGCCCAATTAGTGTTGTAAGTGAGGTTTATAAAAAAACAAGCGGATCAAGAATCGGAGTTTCGAGTACCGAGATACGGTAGCCCGAAGTTTGGGAAATTCAAGACTGGAGAAGAATTTCCAGATTTGAACCTCCAACATGAGGAATTTAATTGGGTATCGAAACGAACTTGGATTGGTACCAAAATTGGTAGTATTCTACTCCCATATGAAAGGTACCACTCTATCAAATTTCAGGGAAAAATACTTTCGGTAAGATAGTTAATTAGTCAACCAAAGTTCAGGAAAATTATAAGGCAATCTGCCTTGAGACTTTCATTACCCATTTCAAAACGTTTAATCAAGCAAACTATAAAATCATGGTTCATTTGTGAGATAAAGGCATAAGAAACATCCATAATGCCTTTGGTAAGTGTTTAGTATCAAGAACATCAATTAACAAGTTCACTCCAATATCTTGTTCCAAACCAGTCCAACATTAGGGTTTTTCCAAAACAGAGCAGTCCACTTGTTTCAGTCACAACTCAGTCAATTTAACTCGAAATAGAGCATGGCTTACGCCGTTGGAAAATACGTTCATAGGGGTAAAATATCACAGAAGAAATCATTTCCAAATTCAGCACCAATCTGGTTCAAAATCGAACATCAAGTTGCTGCCTGAACACTTCATTCCAGATGAACAGAGCAACAGGACAGCGAACTTAAAACATTTGGTTCGGCTTTCTCACAAAGAATCAGAACGTGCATTATATACCAAATTAAAGCCAGTAATGTCTAGTTTCCAACGCCACCAACGGTACATGATTTCGACATCCGAGGACAGAGTTATAGCCAAAATACTACCACTGGTCAGAATCATACGCGAACAGTTTTCCAGAATGCTAGTTTCTCAAGAAAAATTCATTTGCTCAATCAAACCTCAATATTTTTCAATGAAATTTTTCACACATCTAATACATCCTATAAACATCCAATTCAAGCCGTTAGACCATTAAAAATTGGCCTGGAAATGGCCGAACATGGCAGGGGCAAAATCGGGAATTTTAGCTTCTTACACCCAATGATGTTTCTACTAATTACCCACCACTAATGCATCATATAACCACTAAACCAACAATATAATCACCATCAATCATCACATCAGCAACAATAACCCAAGTGTGGGAATTCCAAGAGCCCACCAGAATATTTTACAACCATATCAAGCTAACCAAAAGCATGCATGAACTTAACAAGGTAAGATAGCTTCCAAACTTCAAGTTTTCAAGAGGGGATCATCACTTACTTTGGGTTGATGTTCAGCAGAATTTTCGGCCCTCTATTACCCCAGAAAAACCGTGATTTCCAGCCCTTGTTTGCAGCTCAAAATGATCCTCAAGTGTCAATCTAGGTGTGGTGCAAGTTTAGTTAAATTTGGAGATGATTTGGAGTGGTTTTGAGTGAGATTAGTGAGCAGAAATTTTGTTGCAAATGAGTTAGAGAGAGGAGGGAGCTGGTCGGCAATGAGGAGAGAGAAGGTGGAGGGAAATCTGATTTCCTTTAGCTTCCAAGAGAAGGTGAAATAAGTGGTGGTAATTCACCCAAAAGTCAACTCTCATTAGGGGCCGTTTGGTGCGATTACGGCTCGATTTTCTCGCGCATTTGGTTCACTAGTGCACTAAACCTCCAAGGCATATATATATTCATGTAAATATTACCCACTCTTAATTGTCCCGAAATAAGGGTCTAAAGTCCCTCAATTGAAGTCGCGCGTGTGAAAACGCGTACCGTCAAATTTAACGCTATAACGCGAAACTTCCGAGAAATTCTTATAACGATAGCACTATTAACTATCACTTGAGTTTTTATTCATAAGATTACCTATTTTAGGACCATAGTACGAGTCTCCAATATTCCAAGCTTATTGTACTACTACGCGGATAAAATCTCCAAGTACTATTCGCTATTTTTACTAAACGCGCCCTAGGAAATTATTTTTTGAACGAGTCACTTTAAAAATATAACGAAATTATATTTCCTTGTATTTAGGTCTAATATGACTAGAAAATATTCCTTGGAATAAAAATCCAATTAAAAAATTTATTAAGCAAAAAATTAGGCATAAAATAATAGTTTTTACGGGTCCTCACATCCTCTCCTCCTTAAGAAAATTTCGTCCTCGAAATTTACCTTGGTTGACGAACAAGTCTGGATATTTCTCTCTGATTGTCTCTTCAACTTCCCATGTTGCTTCCTCTACTCCATGGTTCTTCCATAGAACTTTTACTAGTGATATCTGCTTGTTCCTCAGTTCCTTCACCTTTCGATCCAAAAGTTTTACCGGTC